CGAGGACGACGACGACGACGACGACGACGGACTTGCCTGGGGCCTGTCTTGGCCAGGACTCGACTGAGTGATGGCCAGGGCACTTGCCAATTGCCAAGCGGATTTTCCAGCTGAGAGCTTCGCAGCGGCAGGCATTCGGGCAGGCAGGCAGGCAGCTCTGCAGCTCTGCAGCCGACGGGAAAGATGCTTGTGCAACACAACACAACAGAGCGCAACGCAACGGCACGCAGGAGATGGAGATGGAGTTGGAGATGGAGTAGGAGATGGAGATGGAGATGGAGTCCAGCAGAGAAGAAGAATCCATTCAAGCGTTCAAATTTTTAATCATAATATTTTAAACAATATAATTGCAAAACTAACAAAAGATTTGCCATGCCATAAGCAAATGTGCAAAGGAACAGCAGCAGCGGCGGCAGCAAGAGGAGCTGGACAGCAAAATGATGATGCACAAATTGCCAATAATTCTGCACTCGAAATTGTGAAAATTGTGCAACTGATTGAGTCGATTGTTCAATTGGATTTTTCGATTATTTTACGAAATGCAGGGGAATGCAGGGGAACAGGCCAGAGGTAAATATAAAACTATTTGCAATTTTAGGCAAATATTAAAGTAATACATGGACCTGCCTGGCCTAGCCTTGCCTCCACTCTCGTTTCAAATGAGCAGAATATTTTCATTATGCTAAATAATTTGCAAAGTTCTTTTGTTCTGTTGTGGTTCATTCATCGGTTTATGTCCACAAAACATTTGCACATATTGCTGATATATTTAATTATTTTCAAATGGCTTTGCACTTTTGGCGGATGATTTAGTAGGCTTAAAAATTATTTAAGCTCTTGGAAAACAACACTTAAAGTCGAGTAAAATGAACAATGCATCCATTTGGTTAATGTTGTTCAGATTGAGCAATTAAAAGTCGCTGGAGAACGGTCTGTCAGTCTCTAGTCGGAGATATATCATGGAATATAGAAGGCCTCTGGCCAAACCACTCAGGATAAACTATCACCTGCTGGTGTGGGCCTTTCACCTTTGAACATACTGTGATACTGCTGCACATACATACTCCCCATCAATGGGGGTTACAACTGAGGGATAACTACAAGCTGCTGGCAGTCCACTTTTCCTCAAGCTTAGTGGTTATACAAACCGATCATCACCCATCTCCCTTGCGGACAGGTAAGATTTCATGCTCTGCCAGGATTTATTAATCAATCTCTCCAAAAGATACCAACGAGACCAAGCCACTATGGAAATACATAGACGCTTGTCTTTCTGTTTTCCTGGTGCCAAAAGTCTTTCATATTGGTTTGTTCCCTACTATTTGGGCAGAGTGCAGAGAGAGTCGCATAATGAGCCAGCAACGTGGATGGCCATGAAAGTATGCTTCGCATCGATTTTAATTTGTACCAGAGCCCGCCGAAAAGTATGCAACAAATAAATAAAGTTGCATCGCAGCCAGCCCCAGCAGTTTCATAGCACCCAGCTTTGGTAGCTGCGTCCGTTGTAATGCAGCGTGGAAATGCCAAGTGAAATGTGGCCAAAGAACATGGCCATGTGGTTGTTGTTGGATGTTGCGTTGTGCTGCCTGACGCCGGCTTACCACACCACCCCCACGCACCAAGATGGGCCACACCAAACGGCTCGATGGCAACATGTTCGAGCAGCAGCAGGTTGGATTCCATTTCCGTTTCCGTTCCACACCAGCAAGGCTAGAATCCACATCCACATTGTGGATGGCAAATTCAAAGGAAAACGAAGTTCGTTTCTTTTTTCTTTTTTTGTGTTTGCATTAAATCTTTATTTAATATTTTTGTGTGTTTTCGGTTTTGCTTTTCTTGGATTTCATTTCCGTTCGTTTAAATTATTCGTAGACTTAAAACGTTTTCCGTTTCGGGGGTTTTTCTATCGCAATTATTCGTAATAGGCATAACGTTACTTACAGTTTTCGCTTAAATTAACATAATAATTCATAATATTAATAATAATAATCATCAGAATAAAGTGTAAACTTTTCCTCTACTTTTTACTCTCCTCTCCTTTTTCCTTTTTGCTCTTTCTATGTGTGAGTGTGAGTGTGTGTGTGTGGTTTTTCAATGTGTTTTGTTTCGGTTCGGTTTTCTATAGATTTTCCATAGTTTTCATATTTTTTGTTTTTGTTTTTGTTTTCGTTTTTTCTTTAGGGAGCCGCGTCGATGCGTTTGTTCTTTTGTTTATACGACGAGTATGTTTTTTTTCATAGTTTTTATAAAATATCACATTTTAAGCTTTTTTTTGTAAAGCAGGAAAACGAAAAGTTCTTAACCAAAGAGGTTGTTGGCAAAGCATATACTGGGGGAATAGTGGGGGGGTGATGCAAGCAAAGCAAATATCTGGCGACAGACGGGGAGAGAGAACCGTAGAACGCAAGCAGCTGGATCCATGGCGCCTCCCCATTAACTTTCGTCTCTATCTTTATCTTTATCATTTTTGTTTATCTATTTTCTTCTTGGTTTCACATACATATATATTCTGTTCTGTTTGTGCTAAAACATTTGCATTATTTTTACGATTCAATATCCAATATTTTACGATCATTTCTCTTACGTAGTTCTTTTATTTTAGTTTTCCCTTCTTCTTCTTTTCTTTTTTCTGGTTCAATATTTATTTAGACATTTAAAACTCTGCAAAGTGCAGTTTGGAATTTTAAAATTGTAGTTTCCATCTATATGCATATGTATGTGTGTGTGTTTGTGTGTGACTGTGTCGTTCTGGCGAGTGAAGAGTGCCCCCATCTCGGATCTCCACTGTTTCCATATTTGGAAACCTCCATATGGAGGTTCCCCATTTTGCTATAATTTCAAATACAAATTTGCTTTACTTTGTGCTTCATCTTCTTCATTGTTCTTCTGTATTTGCTTCTACTACATTCTTATTGTAATTCTTCAAAGGAAATAAAGACAGTGGCAGTGAAAAGTGTGGCAGAGGGGAGACAGACAGACAGACAGACAGCTCAAGTCAGGCTCTAAATTGGTGCAACATTCCAACGAGTGTGACCGTTTCAACGACACAAACGAGTGGGAACGCAACCGGCGAGTGCGCAGACAACACTCCCAAAAGATGCTGACGAAGCAGCGAGTGATGGAAAGAAAAGTTGTTGGAAATGCATAGAGAATTCGAAGGAGTTCCCTATAGGGAATAAATATAGGTAGATAGGTAGGTAGGTAGGCCTGTCTCTTGGAGTGTTTGTGTGCGTGTACATACATTTATATCCCATTTATCGTACGCACACATATACATAGGTATGTCTATTTATATTTACTGCATACATATGTACGTATACATATATGCATTCGCTTAAGACACATTTTTCAATAAGTAAGTGGAACAACATCCAACGCCAACTGTTTTATTTTTTCGGTTTCTGCTTTGCTTTTTTCTGGTTTCTTTTGCTTACGATTTCTTTCATTTTCGGTATTTTGTTTCTATTTCTTTTTTTTTTAACTACATTCACATAGATTACACACTTATATTTTGCATTTTCTTATGATTTTTCGTTTTTTTATTTTTTATGTATTTTCTGCCTTTTTCGTACTCGAATCAAAAGTCTTTAATGACAAATATTTTGTGATTTCTCGCCAACGTTTGCTTCCTTTGACTCTATGTTTAGTTTTCCTTAGTTTTTCTTGTGCTTCAATTAAATTGTTTATGTGTCAAATTTATTTACAATTCGTTCAACACTCAGATCTTAAAAGTACCACACACAAAAAAAAAACACCTGTTATTAAATATTTTTCTGTTTTATTAATTATAGTATATTATCATAGTTTATAATCCACAATTTTTACTCTATGTACAAGCATTGCTAGTGTATAAATAATAATGTAAAAAAAAATAAAAAAATGGATTCGTATATATAGTTAAATGTATATATTTTCTGTATAGTATGGTATATATTTGTATATATATATTCTTATATATATATATGCTTATATGATCATGTTTTTAGACAACTTTTTGTGGTGCAATCTTCTAGATCTAGTTTCCACATTCATCTCAAAAAAAATTCATCTCTCCTCATTCGCTCTTCTCGTATTTCTAGTTGGGATGCGATAAAAAAAAAAAATTTCTCTTTTGTATATACATGAATAAATATATATAGATATATGTGTGTGTGTGTGTCTGTGTTTGTTTATGGTATATGTATATATAATCTATGTAGATACATTTATAGCGGTGCCAGATCTGCCAGATGGTTAATAATACATATATTTTGAATATATATATTGATCAATTCTGTGCTTAGTAACGATTAAAGATTTAAAATGTTCATCAGCCCTAGCCATAGCCCTAGCCCTAGGTCCTAGCCCCCACACATCCAGGAAAAAAACATCGATATACATCTATTCAACATACAACATCGTTATCGTAATCGTAATCGGTTATCATTATTATCTTTTATCGTTTACTGCATGCGATCGGGCGGGGAGATTTTTCCTTGCGTTTCTTTCTTGCCTTTTATTTTCTGTACGCATTGCGCTCATTCCATTCTGTAGTTACTTTTGTTTTGTAGGTACCTTGCGTTCCATTCATTCATTCATCATTCATTCAATCCATTCTCTGAATCGCCTCCCCCCCTATTCCCTACTCATCCACACCTTACAACATGTCTGTGAGGGAGTCACATTGCTGATCCTGGAATATCGGGCGGCAACACTCCTCGACGGCATCGTATTTGTAGTAGCGTCGACGACTCCTCTGGCCGACAGTGTGACCGTAGTAACGTTGCTTCTGATTTCTGGCATATCTCTGATATTCAACTAGCTCCTGCCCGCCCTCGTCCTCCGCCTCTGCCTCTGCCTCCGCCTCCTGCTGCTTATCGTCATCTTCGTTTTCGACAAGCTCGAAGGGATATTTGTGATCTTTGTGTAGGGCATATCGACTACCGGCTCGCTGCAATGATGATGTGGACGATGACGTGGACGCTGACGATGTCAGCTGCTGATGCTGATGTTGGCCGCTGCTTCTGCTGCTGCTGCTAATGCTGTTGCTGTTGCTGGGTTGGTGGTAATAGTGGATGGCATGGCATGAGGCAGTCTTTGAATTGTATTCCTGCAAACGATACAAAACAGTAACAAGAATACGATTAGTTGTGTATTGGATCTAATTTTAAAGATATGTATGATAAGGATACTCCCCAATGGAGATAACAATAATTATCTTTTTTCAGCATTTATCAACATAACAGTAAGAATAAGAAATGCAAATGGCATTCGATTTCCCTCCCCCCATATTATTCTGATCTCTAAATTGCTTGCTTTCCGATCACTTTTTTGTAGTTCAACAAGTCCTGAGATTCTTGGGGCGCTGGGTCAAGTCAAGCAATTGACTTTTGGCAGCTTCTTCTTTTAGTTTCGCCCCTGCTGCTGCTGCTGCTGCTGCTGGTGCTGCCCCCAACTGGAATATTGTCTGCTTTGAAATTTGTTGCACAAATTGTGGCAACAAATTTTGTGTGTTGCTGCCGCTTTTGGCGCACTGCCTCGACATCTGTGTCCATGTGGCCAATGGGTTTCTATGGGTGTATTGTCTGTGTGTGTGTCTGTGTGTGTGTGTGTGTGTGTTTGTGTGTGTGTAAATAACCAACATAATGGCAGAAATGTCGCATTCTCATAAAGTTGGCGCTGACTTCCAGTTGGTATCCTCTGCTTCTGCTTCGGCCTGCCAGCCTGCCAGCCTGCTGCCGCACCCTCTGCTCCTGCTTCCTGTTCCTCCTCGCATATTATCAATAAATTGCATCTGACTGCCGGAGCAGCAGACAACAAAACGGTAGCCCCGTAGCCCCATCTATGCGCCACCCTAACACCACCCTCACACCACACACCACACACCATACACCATACACCATACCGTTCCCACCACCACCTGCCTAACCCGTTATTAAGTGAGCCTCGTTGTATATCGAAACACTGAGAGAAACTGCTATCAGGTTTAACCAAAAGTAAGCAGCTTTTTCATAGGAGATATGGGAATAAAATAGATCAAATCATCATGGAAAATATCGTAGAAAATAAAAATACTCGTAAAGGTACAACTGCTCCATTCACAATCGACGCTAGCTAGAACCACAAGCAAAAAGTGCCCAAGAAAATAAACGAGAATCCAATAACCAAATACATGTCATGTGCATGAGGCGGCACTGAAGCTCGATTCAAGTCTCGCCGATTAAAATCGGTATGTAGGAATTGTTATTATGTTGCTATTCAGAATTTTATTTTTTATTTATAAGACAACAAAATTTCTTTGAAGAAATTCCCATAAAAACCATCGAAACTTTTATGGTAACTGCTGTGCCTGTTGCCAAGAAAATTTCTATCCCATAGCCAATAAAAATATATCCACAAAAGTAATGGACACTTGAATCAACCAAAAGTATAGATTGTTTTGATTTTGCTAGTAAGATGCTTTCTTTTCCTGATTAAATGCCATTTTCCATGAGTTTTGGAATGTTTTTTTCCTATTTTTACATATTTTCTTCTCAGTGTTAGGGGATGGGGGGCTGGAATGGGTGGGGGTTGGGGTTGGGGTTGGCTCTGTCGTACCGCACCTTGTTCTAATTTATTTATTGTTGCATGCATGTTCTTTTATTGGGTGCTATCCCGGTCCCATCCACACCCCCTTCTTTCTATCTTTCTCTGTCCCCCCCCCCAACTGTTGACCGCAATATTGCTGCTGGGAAGCCCTGCTCCTGCTCCTGGCCCGGCACCTTCTGCCTTTGCTTCTGCCTCTGCCTCTGGCTGGACTTTAACAATTATGTTTTTTGGGGTTCGGTCAAAGTCAACACCGGAAAATGTCTGACAATTTGATGCACTTGTCGCTCTCTGTCGCTCTCCACCAAAAAGCAAGCAGTGGAAGGGGCAGGGGGGCCAGGGAACACATTTGGTGCCAAAGTTATTAAGCAAAAACGTATGGGGAGGGGGAAGGGTAGGGATGGAATTTTAAGCCTCAGCTAAAAGGCAGAGACGAGTTTTAGAAGCGGCTTAAAGGCAGGGTCCAAATGTATTTGGAATAGCCCGTGAAAAATTCAGAGAGCACTACTACATTCAGCTACCCCCTGCACCCCCACCCCCACCACGCAACAGTTGTACCCTTTCCCTTTTCCATATATACATATGTACACATATATACGTGTATGTATGTGTGTATTTTTTGTTGTTGTTGCAAGTTTATTGATGTCGACGTGAGTTTTTCATGCCTCAGCAGACAGTGAAGGGAATGGGGTGGCGCAGATGGGAGGGATGTGGTCTGTGGGGTGGGGGGTGTATGCGGGTGGAAGGGCAGACTCGTCTGCAACGTGACAAAACCCATTATAGATGCGACCGCAAAGATAACACTCAATGGCTCTGGCTCGGGCTCTGGCTCGGGCTCTGACCAGGCAAAGGTCCGGGCTCCGGGCTCCGGGGTCCAGGGGACACTCCCGACTTCTGATGGATGCCCCCGAAAAAGACCGAGAAAGAGTGGGAGAGTGAGGCACGGACAGAGGAAAGGTGAGAGTTGATTCTTGTTTTTTTTTGAGGGGTGGGGAGGGGCACATAAATTTCATTTTGCAAGCCATCAAAAAGTTAAGTCAACGATAAATTGAATGGCTGCATGATTGACTGAATGAATGAAGGCCAAAAAGAGCAGGGCTGCGGAGATTGGCGGAGGGGTGAGCTGTGTACAAGGGGCACGGGGGAGCAGGCTGCTGCTGCTGCTGCTGCTGCTGCGGCTGTCACTTGCTTTTCGGTCACGGTGTGGCTCGTTGCGTTCGCACAGACATCAAAATCCACATTAAAAAAGAGACAGAGCGCGAGAGATAGCGAAAGAGATGGTTGACATCACAAAAGAAAGAGACAAATGCATATGCAGGGGGTCTGGGGGACTGGGTTGCTGGGGTGCTGGGGGGGAGGTTGTCGCTGGGTGTAAAAACCTTCAATATAAATATAAAAACCGTCAACACAGGCCACACACAACAACCAACAATGCCAAAAAGTCAAAAGCCGTCACAAAGCGTCATTGAACCAACCAGCAGGGCAGTATAGAGCGGGATGGGGGGTGAGGGGTGGTGAGGGGTGGTTGAGCGTCAAACACCTTTCATATGAAAAGCATTCTTTGCCGTCGTATCTGTCTGTCTGTGTGTCTGTGTGTCTGTCTGCATGGGAGGCGTAGCGGTCTCTTTGCTGTTTTCTTTTTTTATTGCAACAAGGCGTGGCATGGACATGTGACATGTGTGCTTACCCCTCTCCCCACCCCCTGCCACTCTCTGACAATGTCATGGCAACACCTACCCGAAGGGGTGGGGTGGGGAGGGGCGTGTGCCCCGACAATTGTGCGGAAATATTAAATCTGCGCTTCACAAAAAACAGGAGAAGAGAAAAACTCGAGGAAGTAAAAATATTTCGAAAATATCCAACACCTGTAGGTGGGAGCGACACGTCGAAAGGGGCGGGGCGGAGTACGGTACCTGATGCTCTGTTGGGTAATGGGCGTGTTTCAATTTTTATATAAACTGCAATAAACATGAATTGGGTCGTAAGCAGCAGAAGCATTCAGGCGGCAGTCCCGCCCCAGCCCCCATTCAGTCAAAGGCAGACAGGCAGTGAGGCAGCCAGGCAGCCAGGCAGCCAGTCAGTGAGGCAGCCAGGAAGGCCAGAGTTAATACTGATTATGTCCCTGTTGGATGGATGTCAGCGGAAGGATGATCCAGAGGAGGCTGAAGTGGAGGAGGCTCCCCCGGAAGGGTGGGCCAACATCTGCTATGGAATATAATGGATCATTTGAACGAGAGAGGAAACAGCAGTTTTAGTGCTGGTATAATGCGAGCAAAAGGTTGATTGTTATTTTGTGTTATGTGGCGATGGCACTGGCACTGGGATAAGGGTTAAGTCAGGCATTGGCTAGGGGTGTGAAGCATAAGGGTTAGCACTGCGAATGGAGTTGATTAGTTGAGGCGTTAAGTAGGGTTCTATTCCCACTTGCAGACTGGGAAAAGGTTAATTTAAAATTGGATAACATTATGATTGAATCATTCAACGATTGAGGGCGATTTAGTGACTAAAGATAGAGCCTAAACCAGGCATTGCTCAAGTCCAAAAAGGAGCTTAAGCACTGTTTAATGCTGGAGACGATTGTGTGTGGTTAATACAAATAAAGTTGGCCAGAGTTTAACTTCTTTAAGTGCTCAAAAAGTTGGAGTTTTATATGGCTTAGGGCAGATAAAAAGATAAAAAGCGAAAAGTCAGGGAATTGATACAGCTATAATTGGTTATGGCTATGATTGGCCTACGGGATTTAAATGGGGTTTCAATTAGTCCTCCGTTTGGCTGAACTTTTCGTATGATTAAGTCTCTCAGGGAGTTTAATTGGTTTAAAGGCCACACGATGTCACGTTCTAGTATATTATGTGGTAAAGTAAAGCCAAGACAAAAGCAAAATCCGGACTACAGTACATACATATGTACATAAATAAATACATATCTACATACATATATCAAAGATAAGCTCAGGTCGTGGGGCATTAAGTTAACTTTAAGTTAAGCGAAAAGGTCAAACTTAACCTAAGGTCAGGCCTGGCCCTCTAGCAAGAACCATCTCGCCCCACCCCACCCCATCCCATTCATAAATGCATTACATCAAAAACCATTGCCTACTTTCCAGCGCCCTATACTGTGGCACAAAGTGTTGCCTGCTTTTTGGGGCGGCTCTCGTTCGACTGCACTTAAAGGTTACATTGGGTTGCATGAGGCTGGGTTGGGTTGGGTTATGTGTGTGTGTGTGTGTGTGTGTGTGTGTGTGTGTTTGTTCCAAGGCGTTTCAAGCGGGTGGGGCCTGGTTGTTGTGCAGTGAAATTTCTGACAGGTCATAAATTGGCACAATGGGTGGGCCAGCCAGCCAGCCAGCCAGCCAGGCAAACTCCATCCAAAAACCACCCACTTTCGGCGGAATGCAACACTCCCCCCGTCGCCAAGCCCAAGTCAAACAACACCAATACAACATTCCGTTGCGCAAAGATATGTACACACGTATACCGTATACCGTATGCATGTATGTATATTCCGATGACCATGGTGTAGTCT